GCTTCTGATAATAATTTGCATTTTCTATGTTCTGTTGCTTCTTTTCTCTATATACAGTATAATCATTTGTATCTTTGCACCTATTATTAGGCCTATTAGCTATGATATATAATACTATTTGATATCACTTGTAGTACAAGGTTATTTTGCATTGCTTTTGATACAATATCTTGGTATTGATTTTAATGCAAAGTTATTTTGTATTTCTTATTAAAGTGTTTTTGAGTGAACCTAAGCGTGCCTGTTTGATCCTTTGAGAGCCCTATATCCCTCTCACATCAACATGGTACGATGCTAAACAAATAAATGCATGGAAATGTTATACATCTATCAGATGATGCTCATTTAGATTTCTTAGTACAACATAAATTTCTGTTAGCAAGTAACATGTATAAGTTGCTTGGTTTAAGGTGCATCCTGTATACACCCTGGAGTGTGGGACATGATCGATTCATCATGCAAGAAGAAAAATCAGATGAAATGTAAAACAGTCTAGGTCATGACTCTCTGAATATTGATTTAATGTTTATATTACAGAGTTAATTTATGCTTCCCAGTTTATTCTGGGAACCAGTACTGCTGGATACAGCAAAATAAAATGTTCCAGGTAGAACTTTATTGGCAGTTTCTCATCTGATTGGACTAAGAGACAAGCAGGAACATATATACCCACATAACAAGGCTTACACGAGGGACAGATGGGGACCATAACCATTGACTAATCCCACGTAATCGAAAAAATAGCTGGTGGAATTTAAAACGAGAGCAAAACACATGATGGCCTGTGGCGACATCTGCTGGCCAAACAGGAACAGGACGGGCAGGCGGAGGCAAATCATGACAAGAAGTGGAGTGGCCAATTAATATTTAAAAGTACAGTATGTCTAAAATATATTTCACATAAATGTCAAAGATATATCTGGATATACTGTATATATATTTCTGCCTTACCATTTTGTCCTGTCATTGTAGTCGTTAATGTTGGTCTCGTTGATAGTGCTGCTCCATTCTCCTTAGTAATAGTTAGTGTGTCCTGTGCCTAGTCTCCCTCTTTCTCCTGTTCTCATCCTACATGGTCCNCTCGTTGATAGTGCTGCTCCATTCTCCTTAGTAATAGTTAGTGTGTCCTGTGCCTAGTCTCCCTCTTTCTCCTGTTCTCATCCTACATGGTTCATTTTCTGCTTATGCTGTTTTGTGATTCCAACAAATGCCTTTAGCCCTTCCTGAAAGCTGTATCTGGGTTGTCCTTTCCTTTCCTTGTGATGCTTCTTAAGAGATGCCATTCAACATTGAGGGACTCCTCAGAGGAAACCATAGACTAAGCCAAAGACAGCAGAATGGAACCCCACAGCACCAGGGTCATGTGACAGTGTGTCAAACCAAACATGCCAGACTGAGGCAGAAACTCCTCTTTACCAGCTAACATGACAAATCACACTGGGTCGGGTTGTGAGATCACTGAAAAGATTAGGTCTTCAAAGTAGTGAGAAACACTTGTGTTGTTATGTTCTATGTGCATAGTTTAATTGTTCAGCAAATTTCACAAAGGAAACAGTAAAGGACAAATATTTCTCATAATGTTAATTATTTGAAGTTGTATGTGTGGTACAAAAATGGCATTTCTAGCTTAAAAGTGGAGATGACATGAAAAGAGTGTTTGTTTTGGGTTGTATGAATGGGGGAGTGATGTTTTATTTATGCAGATTAAACCCATGTGTCTATCAAACAGTAACAGGCACCACCTAGTGGAGAGTTATAATGCACCAATCTGTGAATAAAAAGAAAGAAAATTCTCTGTTGATGCTACTGTGTCATTGCTGCTGGCAAAGGAGACTGGTTTAGAACATACAGGAAACCTGCAGGGCATCAAAACACCACAGTCTATACAGCTGTCTGGAGAAACATCTGTGCTCAAAGAACTTATGTCCTTTTGGCAGGATAGAGCTGCACTGACACTGGCTGACAGCCCTTGGAAACACATGGACCCATGATTCTGGTGCAACTACACAGAGAAATCCTGGGGAAGCTTAATGTAGATGCGGTTTTGATTAAGTGGGAAAAGAAAAGAAAACCCACTTGGTCATTATGCAATATTACTCGAGATAAACTGAGACGACGCACCTCAGAATTTTGCATTTCACAGCATCCTTCAGGAAGTTGTCGCTGAAAATGATCCCTCAAATGTGACTGCTCCAAAGTTCGCGAAGGTCTACAGCTTCATAGTGCATACTCTCAAAGTACTACAGTTTCTTAGTGCATACTCTCAAAGTACTACAGCTTCTTAGTGCATACTCTCAAAGTACTACAGCTTCTTAGTGCATACTCTCAAAGTACTACAGCTTCATAGTGCATACTCTCAAAGTACTACAGTTTCTTAGTGCATGCTCTCAAAGTACTACAGCTTCATAGTGCATACTCTCAAAGGACTACAGCTTCATAGTGCATACTCTCAAAGTACAATACTACAGGCTAAGGAGAATGACCACAGTAGAGCTTATAGAGCCACACCTGTCTGGGCTTGCCTTGTCAGCCCGTCATGTCCCTGTTTGGCCAGCAGAGGTCACTGGCCATCCTATAATTACCTAATCATCCCCAGCCCTAATGTTCATACACAGCTCTGGAAAAAATTAAGAGACCACAGCAAAATTTTCAGTTTCACTCATTTTTCAGTTAATGAGTATGTGCCTGTGTAAAATATACATTTTTTGCAAACTCGAGTCTGATTCTTCCCTGCTTCTCATTGATGAAGGGCTACTTCCTTGCTTCGGTCCTCTTTCTAGGGGCCTGCTATGAATTGTCCTAGCAGTGCACTTCACACTTAATGTTTCCCATTGTTTTTGAAGGTCACTTGAGGTCATTCTCAGATTTATGAGGCACTGCCGGATAAGTTGATGGTCATCTCTGGCATTAGAAAGTTGCTTCGCCCCCTGGCTGATTTCATGTCATTCCCAGT